TGAGACTTTGGATATGTATTGGTATTTGTCGCTCGCACTCATGTTGAAGTAACATAACATGACCTTAAATGTCTATGCTCTTTTGAGCTAGTATTATCAAAAGGAAGTTGTTGTAGATAAATTTATGACGGTAGTTAATGAGAAAACAGAGGAAGAAGGTTTTCGTATTGTTATTCCATATGAATTCTCATTACATATGTATACTAGTGAAAAGCTTTTTTTTATTTATACAGTATTTATAGTATGGAAGACGAAATAAAAAATCTTTAGTAAAAATCAGTAGATTTATTAAGTTGTAGAAATTAATTGATATTGACTAAGTTTTCATCTAACTTTCTGAATCATTATTTCTGTGAGTCATTGTATTCCTCTTGCTTCCGAGCCTTTACATGAAATGAGGCTATATATATAAAAGAATTGTTACCTCAATATTTAAAAAATACCAAATTTTTCCAAATTTTTTATCTCGAATTCTCGAGCTAGACATCCGTTTTGCATTTCATTCGTATCATCTCCTGGTACAATTGGATGGTAAGAATTGAGAATGATGCTGATTATTTTCCTTACAAGCAGATTTGGAAAACTAAAATCCCACTAAAGATTGCTTTTTTTAGTTGGGAGGCTTGTAGAGAGAGTATATTAACCATTGACAAACTGAGAAAGAGGGGACAAATGTTGGTTAATGCATGTTATCTTTGTAAGAAGGCGAAGGAAAATTGTAACCACTTGCTCCTTTGGTGCCTGATGGTTTTCAGTTTTTTTTTTTTTTTTTTTTTGAGATAAAAGAGAGAAATGTTATTAAAATGGACGCCAAGGGAGCATAACCCATATACAAGAAAAGGGATTTACAGCTCAGTGAGACTCTGAGGTCACTGAGACTTTTGATGCATTTTGGAGCCGGGTTGACTAAGCTCTGTAATTATTGTAAATGGGTTGCATTTTGTGCTCATAGTAACATATACATGCTGTTTTTATTTAAAAAAATAATAATAATATGGTATGATCATCATTTCTATGGTGATAGCCAAATTAAGTCATGGCAATACTATACTTGGCAAACCATGCCCTTAGAGATTATTCAGGTCCACAGAGTTCTTCTTTAATTTGCAAACTTTACTCCCACTCCCTTCGATATCAAATCTTGGGAGGATCTCCATGTAAACTTCTTCCTCTAATTCTGTTTATAGAAAAACAATTTTTAACATCAATCTTTTGCATGTCCTGATCATAATTAGTTGCACATTATAGGATTCTTCAGTAGTGATTTTTGCGACTGGAGCTAATGACTCCTTGTAATGAATCGTGTATATTTTGGGTAAACCCGGTTACCACCAATTGGGTGTTAAATCTGTTGAGTTTGATCAGCTTTATGCTTTACGCTAGACACCTGCTTCCGTTCTATTGGTTTCTTTCCCAAAGAAAGATTAGCAAGTTCCTATCTCGTTATTTGTTAAACATCTCATCATCCATAGATGCTTTTTGCTGTGGACTCATTAGAGCTTCTTGCCAAACCCATGAAAGAGAGACAGATAACAATTGCTGTATGAAGGCTCTATGGTAAGATGATGGTTAGCTATAGGAGACAAAGTTCGATAAGAGATCTTTTATGCAAGTACAGGGTCCCTTTCTACCGCAATAGGAAGATCAAGATCATCAATACTGAAGTCTGGATTAAGAAATTTTTTTTTCTTTTTTAAAATAAAAAGTGTACAGTATATATTAATCGGATACCAAGAAAATGGAGTACCGTCCATATACAAAAGATTTACAAAGTAGTTAGAGTATCAATGACCATCTCAAAATACTCATCATTAATAATGTCATGTACTTACAAAATAGATAAAAAAAATGTGTCCATCTATCTCTCATTCCATACAAATTTCTCTCTTTCCTAAGAACTCAAAAAATGGTTAATGGAATTAGTTTCATCACTCTACTATTTAAATGCACACATTCCCAAGCCCATAATTCCTTCCTTATAGACCCTGCCATTACCCTATTGACTCCTAATAGGCTATAGTTAAATTCCCTAGACCAAAAGCCACATTACACCAGAACAATACATGATTTCAAGATTCTTCCGGTTTCATACACATATAGCACCTGTTGGGTAGAAACAGTCCTCTACTCTTGGGGGCACCTTTGCTTTCCATATCTACCTCATCAGGAATTTAGGAATCCTATCATGGTCAGTCCTCATTAAATGAATATAATAGGATTTAACAAAATAACCTCCATTCTTTTCCAGTTTCCAAAACATCCTATCCTCCCCAAGATTCCCCTGCTGTGATACAAGAAGCTGTAACAGACCTTCAAACTCTCTGACTTCTCAGTCATAAAGATTTCTTGTAACATTAATCAACCAATCAACAGAGCCATTATTGATTCTGTATGCTTCCTTAGATAACCATATTTTTTGGCTGTGCTATAGCAAAAATTCTAGGAAATCTCCTCATCAGGCAATAATTATCAATCCAAACGTCCCTCCAGAATCTGATCCTGTTTCCCTTGCCAATTTTCCACTGCAAATTATTATGGAATTGTGGCCACTGCATCAAGATCTTCCTCCATAAATTCCTGCCATGCTCTCTCCAATCCTCTCCCCGCCTCTGTAGTCCCAGTTCAGTTCACCCCATCTAATATGAACAATCTTCCTTCACAGGCTATTTTCCTCCACCAGAAACCTCCAAAGCCATTTACCTTGCAATACCTCATAAGCTACCATAGATCTAATTCCCAGTCCACCTTGCTTGAGAGGTCTTTTAATATGCTCCCATTTAACCAACTGGAATTTCCAGTTCTCCTCATCGTCATTCCAAAGAAATTTGCATTGACTGACTTCCAATTTCTTAGCAATACTCACCGGGACCGTAAAAGTAGATAAATAATAGATAGGTAGGTGGGCCATAGGGCTCTTTATTAGGGTAAGTCTGTCTCCCTTAGATAAGAAATTTCTCTTCCAACTAGTAAGTCTTCTCTCAAACATTTTAACCACCGGTTCCCATGTAGCTTTATTTTTATATTTGGCTCCTAACGGCAAACTAAGGTACTTGATTGGTAGAGATACCGCTTTACTTTCTAACATACTCGTAAACTGCCTTCCATCACCATTGCTCCCAACCCTGACCAATTCAGTTTTCTGAAGGTTAATCTTCAAACCCGAGACCCCATGGAAATACAATAATACACATCTCAAATGAAGTAGGTTCCTCACGTTGGGTTGGCAGAATATTAAAGTATCATCCGCAAAAAAAAGGCGAGAAACCTCAAGAGACAAATTGCTCTTGCCCACTTTCACCCCCTTAACTATTTGTAGCTCCTTCGCCTTATTCACCAACCCATTCAAAGTTTTCATAACTAATGTAAACAAAAGCGGGGAGAGGGATCTCCCCGTCTTAGACCCCGTGATGCCTTAAAGACGGCCGATAGTCCACCATTAATAAGGACTGCAAAGGAAGTTGAAGTCATGCATGTGTGCATCCAATGTCTCCATTTTTGTCCAAACCCTAATCTTCCCAACATAGGATGAAGAAAATTATGAATGACACTGATCCACCTGATATTCTTTAGGAATTGAATTCGGTGTCGACCATAGGCAAGGTAAACTTTGCTCAATTGTCTTGTGTCTGGAGTAACTTCTCATACATCCTTATCTAATTTGCTACAACAAGATTGTTCAGACTATCACCAACATCACTAAGGTGAGGTAAGAATGGGTAGGAAAAAGTCCTAGGGATGAAGGAAAATTACCTCTTCTTCTTCTCTAGTATTCCCTTGAAGAGGTAACTGGGTAAGAGAAAAACTACACTTAAGGACTCATGGTTCTAATTCTTCCTTGTTTTTGGTATAAACAAAACAGACACACAGAAAGACCTTAGGAGAGATAATGTAGGTATTAGGACCTTGTAAAATTTCTAGGAAACTTTTGAAACTCAATTTTCTCAATGATATTTGATTAATAAGATAGGTTTTTGTCAATATTACATCGCCCAGTAGGATTTTCGAACACTCTAGCAACCTCTAATAAAGTTGACAATATTGACACAATTAGTTTGGTGCGCTATCCTAGGGAGGTCTAGGTACTCGTGAAAGACACCATCAATGTACTCTATGCC